TTTTTTTCTCAGAATTCAATAGCATTTCTTTACAGGTAAAACCACAAGATTGATTCTTCAGAAGACACAATTAAACCAATTACATCTAAAATTGTAATTTGTAGTTCTACAAAAAGTACTGTACTTATTGTAGCACAGAAAACGTTTCTCTTTTTACCTTTCCCTTTCAATTACTTTGACCATTCCTTTATGAATACAGATAATTTGTTTGCAGCACAGAAAAATATTTCATATTTCTAACCTGGACATATTATTTTCACTCTAATAAAGCCTGCATAGTACTACCTGATTTTAAAGTCTTTCACTTTATCTGTGTTCAACTTTGCTGTTAGGAAATCTGTAAGTTTCCGTCCTAGTTGATGAAAGCTATATAACAAGCATTCCACATAGCTAAATTGTAACTTAGGCTCTTCATTGCCTGCATTCTCCCCATTCTCTGCTTCTTCTGGAGGAAGTGGCATGTATTCCTGAGAAATAGAAATACAAGTTATATACTATTTATTTTCAGCTAATAGTTCTCATGTATTTTAAATGTGAAATTATGTACAATGAGCTATTTCCAACATTATCTGACATTTTCATTTATAAATTGAACTTTCTATTGTTTTATTCCATTCTCCCACTCAAGAGCAGAAAACTAACTTCACTAAGCAGATTTTTGGGTACATAAATGCATGAAGGGTTTAATCCTACTGGGAGAATAGAACTGGTCAAAGAACAACAGTCTGGATTCCATTTGAATGTTCCTTTAAATAAGTATCTACAAATAAGATTGCTATGGTAATAAAGAATTTCATTCCATCATCTTTGATCAATAACTGGCAGCATTTTTCCCAGTAGTTTATTAGTCTTCCATACTTGTCTGATTAAGTATCAGGTTTTTCAATTCTTTTATATTTCATATGCAGTTTTCTACTTTCCAATTTCTGAAAATTGCTTTAATTTTCACTTCTTTTCTATAACTATGAATATGACACTTAAAATTCTGACTCTGTAGTAGAAGTGACTAATGGAATCAATACTTTGGTCCCCATCTATTACCACAGTACATGGACCGCTACCCTTTAACATAAAAGTAAGTCCTACAAACTGCCAATCATTTATCTTTTCGATGCAGCATTATTCAGATAACTGACATTCAAAAATGTTTAGCATTTCTACATATGCTTTATATAAAT